AAAAACTTATTTCAGTTTTGGAAAGGTTCAGGCACCATTTTTTATGTAGGTGTTGGTTACTTTTTCTTGTACTGCACATGCCCAGTCACCATTTTCTGTGCATTGCATTGTTGCCCTCTTGGCCAGTTGTGCAGTCAGCACCACAAGAGTTGTTGGGACATGAGGAGGCCTCAGGAATGCAATGTTTCTCACAGTTTAGGTACATGGGGCAGGTTTGACTTGTAGATTTAACATTTTCAGAATCTAAGCTGGGAGCAGGTAAAAGGTGACATGTAACTTGTGTTCATACGACTAGTTGATTTTTATTTCTATTATATGTCCGCAATGTCTACGGCTACAGAGGTGATTGAGAGTTTTTTTGTTGGAAATGCGACAGCCTATTCTAATGTACTGTGTGTGATGTGTTTTGAGCTATAGATGGCAGTGTAGTGCAATGTTACACTTTATATGAATGCTTATCTATGATACACATTACATTTTCCTATCTTTTCGTCTCCTGTACAATGCGGTTTACATACATGTAACGTTCTAGGCAAGTAAAACTTTAGTATTCCTCAAGATCTTAGTGCTTCATCTAAACACATAACCAACAGTTTTAATGTAATTTTACTGCTTATTCCAAATGGGCCAGTTCTGTAATGTGCATGTTATAGCTATAGGTTTTTTAGGTGAATGTATCTGTGTGAGGGCCCATTTACACCACATCCAGATAATCACCAGACCAGATTGTTCCTGGACCCAAAATGCATCCTAATGTATCCCTATGCTTTTTATGGCCTCTGTTCACACCAGCGCAGTCCAGACCAGAAAAATACTGCATGTCTCATTTTGTCTGGTCTGGAATGCATGGAAACGCATCAACAATTCATACAAACGCACTGGAATGTATCTAAAAGCCGATTTTCAGCTTAAAAATAAAATAAACCGCTCCGGATCACAGCAAAAACACACTGCGTTCCAGATCTGGTCTGGAAAATGGTGTGAACCTGCCCTTAATCATATAGCACCCCTGATAACTGAAGTTTAGTAAATGACACATTGTATGTAACATCAGACAACCATACAGTAAATATTTGTCCGTTAGTGCATGGCATGGTTATAGATAACGCAGTGCTGTGTAAAAATGGCAACCAAGGTGTAGAAACAGTGACTAGACAAGGCAAGTAGAAGTGATGGTCCTTAACACAAAACCCTGTTTGCTTTGTTGAGGACAGACTGAGGTGGGCATAGTGGATTTTGCAGAGACATTGGTGAATGTGTAGGATATGTTGTGTACATAAAGGCACCTTAGTGGGTATCTAAATTGTCCATTATGTGCAATTCTGTGGACAGAAGTTGCAGTTAAATATCCATGCTTCCACCTGGCTCTGTACATCTCTATGTAGGAGCAGGTCAAGTCATTGTGATTTTAATCTTCGTCCTCCCCACTGCGATATCACTTCAAGTTGCAAAATTATTTTAACAGCTTGTTCACAGCAGCAGTGACACAACTACATGGCTGCTGGTATGCATGTGCCCGAACAGTTCCAATGCACTCGATCAAGTTTTTTTTTTTTTTATTGTTAGAACTTCATTGAAATGTCACAAGTGACATTTTTATTAAGTTCTATGGGCACAGCACACTGTACCATACTGAATGCTGTTCTTTTTTAAGCACGCCACTGCAATGCGGTGGCTGTCCCTACCCATGACAAGGCAAATTGCCTTCTCTTGCATTCATGCTGCTCTGGAAAAAATGGGAAGCACAACCCAAATTAATATGGTGTTAATGAGGTGGAAGAAGAGTGACAAAGGCCACTCCTGTTATCTGTGGTGTATGCAAACCCCAACATTGAGCTTATTTGCTCCCTTTTTGGTCTGCTAAATGTCATTGAATGTTTTTGTTTTTCCTGTTGAGTAAGTACAAAAAATTGTTTATCTTCCCAGAAACTAGTGAGCTGATAACTCTTTGTTCTCTGTCAATGCCTACTATTATCAGATGGCATTGTTTCCAGTTCTCTTCATGGGCTAAACAGATTTCTTTATGATGCAGGCGAGAGAGTGAGGTGTTCTGTAGTTCTAAAAACTTCTGTTCTAGGGTGGTGATGTGCTCCTCCTTAGGTCGCAGTGAGTGGTCGTCACCCTAGGACAGGAATAGTTACTGGCAGGGTCACCTAGTGAAAAAGGACTGCAAAGTTGCGCTATATTACTTTTGTTTTCCTTTACACAGTATTTCCTGTAACAATAGGATTTTAGTAGAGCAGATGTACCATACCGGTTTTACTATGGGACACAAATGTTAACATTTTTTTCTTCCATTCCTAAACAATCTTCATGTCTTCAAACCCTGCATGATGGGTTACCATCCCCCCAGTAGTTTGGTGTGACAATGTTAACAAACCCAGTTCTTCACCCTGCAACTAATAAGCTAAAAACGATTGTGAGTGGTTTTAAAAACTGGCTCTCCTACCTGGGGGGAAAAGGGATCGGGTGTTATTTTTGAATAAATCCAGATATGGTCAATGGCTACCAGAACTATATGGACCTTCCTTTGTGTGAGCTTTGAAGTGCACCTGTGCCCAGACTGTTTATACATATTTTTAATCAGTAAAATTACTTTTTAACAAGCCATCCTTGACCTCTAGCTGCTTGTACTGCAAAGCAATTCTCCAACCTCCTCGAAGATCACAACAAGAATTCCAAGATCAGGTTTTATTTCTGCTTGGTTTACTTAAGAGCGCTGGCATGTTGCCAAGATTTTCAAGGAAAGAGAAAATGTGATTTCAGTGCCTTTTGTTGTGAAATATGAAGATTCCTTTTTCTATGCTTATAGTTAGAGGGGTGAGTGAGGGCTGGTTTGTGTTTAGTTCAGAAGTTAATACTTTTATATGCATACTCTGGACACAGGTTCCCTTTAAGCTAAGATGTTCAAAAACTGTTTAGCTCTGTGCCAATGTAATTGAACTGGTACCCCATGGCTAGCACTGGTCAGCTGCTTGTATTTCTTGAATAACGTTTTTCTTTTCCCTGTTACAGGAGAAGTGCTTTTAGAGGCAGAAGACGAAGAGAAGAGGACCGCACCACTGTAAGTTGCAGCTTATAATTTATTTGTATACTTGTTTTGATGTAGAAGACCTTGGTCCATTGTAAAATCAAAATGGAAAATGTTTGAGTAAACATTGAATTTACTTGGACTGTATTTAAAGCTCAGTCTAGTTGAAGACTATTAATAGTGTAGAAATGTTCATTAAAAAAATGTAAGATGACTCCTTTTATCTCGTATTTGTCACGTTAAAGACCTGGAAAGGGTTTTTTACTGTTTTACTATTTAACAAGTGTTGTGTGCATGCGTTTGTACACTTATGTATATGCATGTGATTATACTTCACTACACTGCTAAAGCAGATGCTTTTATTGGGATCTCCGATTTAGAGAGTGTGCTCATTTCCTGTCCCGTGCCCATAGAGAAAGTAAGGGGAAGTCTCCAGCAGAGCCATAAGGCTTTAATCCTGCAGTGTAAAAATAATGCTTACATGCCTGAAGTATTGATAACGTCATACGAGTCTGGTTCTGCATTCCATATTTGTATTTCCTTTCAGCAATGTTGGTATCGCAAAGCTAGATAGTTTCCTTTGTATGCATTTTGCTGTCAGATTCCATATAAAACTACACCACACTTTGGTCTTCTGTTTTTCTGTAAAATTTAATGTTTTTAGTTTCTAAAGTAGAGCAAGACCCCACTTTCCCCTTCTGCTGCCCTTGTAAAAATATTGAAAATCCTCATTCGTCTATACCTTAGTGCATCCATACATTTGGGAGTACTAGCCTTAACTGGGCACACGAAGACTTGGAATGTTCCCCTTAGAGAGCGATCAGGATCTCTTATGTACTTGTGTACTTCTCATGTTTGAATGCACTTCAATATTATGTTTAGAAAGAATGCCTTGTAACCTCCTGTAACTGTCCTCTGACTGTATAGCTACATAACCTTTGCTTGAGATATTCTATTAGGAATTAGTGCAGCCTAATAAGGTCCTTTAGTAGCATAGCAGTATCCATAAATTGGCATCTTCTTGCTATTTGCTTTGGCTGTGTCAAGCATATAAAAGTGACATTTGCTACATAATGGTACAGGACTCCTGATCTGCCCACTTGTTCTGGGACACTGGTTCAAATAGTACTGAAACAAAATGCAGTTTTCCCTCTTGACCACAGTTTTGATGCACACGTATATTTAATAATTGTTTTGCTTGGCAGCAAATACAATACTTTCTTGTTTCCAACACTGTTTGTCTGAGCTTTGCCACAGCCATAGAAATCATTTCATAGCATCCACTCTCATTTTGTTTCAGCTGTCCTGTTTGTGTGCTCTCTGGCTTTTTAAATGCATATTCTGTTGGATCTAGGTCTTGCTGCTCTCAACTTGGCCATGATCTCTGATGTTGAGATAAAGTACTGAGGATATTGGATAAGTATTTCAGATAGGCATGCATTTTCAAACGAAGAGTTCTCAGTACAGATTTTCTTTGCAAGGGGCAAACATTCTCAAATGTTAATATACATCCAAACCAGTTCTTAATGGTCTGATATAAATGGACTCCTTTCATTGCTTGGTATATGTGCCAATGATCTCTTAAGAAGGATCTCAGTTCAGTTTGGTATATCCATCTCCTACAAAAGAAATTGAGGCAGAGTGCTTAGGGTTTCACACTTTTGGTCAGCAATAAAGACAATCTGGAGCTGAATTTTTCCAGAAGAGTATTTTAGCCATTTTGGTTAACTATCAATGCAAGGCTTCATGTTAACAATTCCACAGTAACTTGTCTTCTATTTTATAGTTGATCAAAGGACATGACTGCAATGTCCAAATGCTTTTATACCCGTAGAGCCCGTAGTACATTTCCCCCCCCTCCCTCTCAGGATATACAGCCAGGGCAAAATCTGATTTAGTGAGATTTGTTTGCATATAATCTGGCTAGTATTTAAATATAAAGAAAGGCAATATGTAGCTGTTTGGTATCACACAATTATGCAACAGTCTCTTTCCAGCTCCCTGTTTTTTGTGTTTATTTTCCTGTGACATAACTGCTGTTTTAGTTTTTACCTGCAGCACAACTTGCTAGAGAAATCTTGCATGTTTTTTCCAGAAATTGACGGTTTTCACGATCCATTGTATGTGAATGGTTGGGTTTAAGTACTCCAAGTCATATCTGTTTAGAACAGACCTCTGAACAGACCTCTGCCGTGTGCAGGTCTGTGCTTCTTACCAAAACAGCAGGATTTCTATTGCATGGGCAATTTCTATGATATAAACTTGGGTACTCTCTCTATATAGGTTTTCTTATATAATCGATTGTAGCTTTACCCTTACCACAAACACAACAAACATTTTAACTTCTGCGGTATTTGACAGCCCAATGATGATCAAGTATCGCGCTTAGAGGGAACAGGGCTGGGCATTCAGAAGTCTGAGCTCCTCCTTTTCATTCTTTCTCTATTCTTTAATCCATCATTTACTTTCTGATCACTCCTTATCTTCTACTCAGACCATGTTTGTTCAGTCTTCTCAATGATCGCAAGATTATGAGATCTGAGGGCTTTGGTCATTCTTTGTTTCTACTGAATAGTTTGGGCTGATGCACTTGATCTGTATTTCAGCGCCCTTTGACCACAATGGAAGAGATGGCACCGACACCAAAGTTTGACTTATTGGCATCTAATTTTCCTCCACTGCCTGGAAGTATAGCAAGCACACCCGGAGAGCCTGTACTTGAAAGTAGGATGGCTGATGTTGTGAAAGGAATTTACAAAGAAAAAGTGAGTATTATCTAACAAGATATTCTGAATAACTTGCCATTGCTTCATACACTGTTGTGTAGTGCTCACTTTGATTAATTTTCATGTAGTCCATATTTTCTTAATGTAAAAAAGAAAAGTGGAGAAACCCTCATAATGGAAACTCTATAATAGAGATCCTGCTACTGTAGGTAAAGTCCCTGCAGGTTATTGCCTGTCACTGACATAAGTTTTAGGTGGACTGGCTTGTTTCAAATGTTGTATCGGTATGCATAGTACTAAGTATATTGTATGCTATCCAGTAATTCTGCTTTTTCTTTAAGGAGAATAAAACATTTCCTCCAACTATGTCTACGCATACTCAGGATGAACCTGTAAAAAACACACTTCAGCAGTCTGTCACATGCTCCATGCACAGTACTGTGGAGGATGTTACCCCACTTCCAGCTCCCCCTAGGTAAGCCAATTTAGTCAATGTTTTGATGGGCATATTTGGAAACTATGGATATCCTTATCAATTAAAATATTGAGTCTCTTTATTTTGAAATGGAAATCCCATTTGTTGCGCAGGTCAATAATAATGTTCAGGTCCCTATCCCACTGTTGGCTTAAGACACAAATGCTAGCAAGTTCAATGCTGCTGCTACTAATCTGCAGGGGGTTCATATTTCTTCATTGCTACGTTGGATCACCACTTTTTCCTACAGTGTTGACACAAGGTGCCCTCCAGCCTCCACACATCACCATCATTAACTTGAATAGATGACAGCTGGCACTTGTAAACGCCAGATTAGGGATTCCTGCTGCAGGAAAACGCAAGTTTCTGACGCAGGAATCCCTAATCGCACCTAAACCTACAGATATGAATGGGGCCTTATTGTGTGTGTGTGTATTGGGGTCCATAGTGCCATATCGCGTATAGTAAAATTTTATTTTAAAGTATGTAATTTGTCGAGCGCCCCCATGGGAGCAAAAAATTTGTCGAGTGAGGGAATTGAGTTTGAGACCCCTGCTGTAGAGGGTTTCCCTGTTTTAGGACCACGTGGACAAGAGGTTGGAAGCCACCCTGCCTCTTGGTGTTCAGCTTTAACTGCCCGGCTGTTGGACAACCAGTGATGTTTTGGACGCTGTTATCCCTGTGCTCCTAAAAGTTAGCAAGTTGACCACCTGTGTTGGCTACCATCACACCTGGAAGGCTTATTTTGTTTGGTGCAAAGCGAGGTAAGTGTCATGGAGCATTTTTTCCTCCAGTCTGACTTGGGCCAAGTTGAACATTGAATAATATTGAGGGACAAATTTCTGCTATGGCAGTTCTTTTCTAGAGACTACTTGCTTAGTGAAGACCTTCTAGTGAAGTTCTTCATGTTGTTCCTCCTATGCACAATCAGGTGACTCTTTAGTAGTTCAGATATCCCTCTGACCTTGCTCTCTTGCCTACCTTGTCACCCTCACTTCTGCAAGGCGTGTTTCAGAGTTGTTGGTCTTGACTTGTAACTAGCCCTTTTGGTTATCTACAAGGGTAAGGTAGTGCTAAGGCCTAGGGCCTCTTTTCTTCCTAAGGTGGACCCTGCTTTACACTTTAACCAGGATATTTCTTACCATACTTTGTCCTGCCTCTAAACGAAGGAGATTTCCTCTCCACAGTTTTGGATGTGGTTCGGCTGTACATCTCTGCTACTGATTCCATCTGCAAGTCCTTCTCCCTCTTTGTTATTCCTGAAGGGGAGCCGGCTTCTTGTTACACTATAGCTAAGCCGATTTGGTGAAAACAGTTGTTTACTGCGTTGCCTGCCCCTCTGTTGGGACTGCTTTTGGACATCCCATTGGTTCCATAATTAACTCCCTGTAATGTATGATCAAGTAGACATGCTGTCTTGCTGTAAAATCATTTTTTGGAGTACACCACAGCATCCTTCTGTGTCTTTGTGATCTACTCTTGAACTGCTTGCTACTAAACTGGGGCAGGCTGGGAGTGGGAGAGGGATTATACAGGGCTGTACTTTTGCCAGTGTCCAGTCATCTGAAGGTAACTGCATAATCCACTGGTCGCAGAATTAAGTCCTTTCTTCTCCCTCCCCCCCTTAAATTTTGTTGCTATATAATCTGTCTGCCTCAAAATATAAGACCCTAAGGCATGGTGGCTAACTCTGTTTCATCCCCCCCCTGTCCACTGGTAAACGGACACTTACAGGAGTGTCTATCTCAATTGTCTCTTAACAGCGCTAAGCTTCACCCCGCTGACCTTCACATTATTACTTTTTATTACACTTCAGGAAGTGTACTGCAATGAAGCTGCAGGGGAGTTAAGTATTCATCCTCTTTACATATGTTTTTGCTGTCTGGCACAGTAGGGGCAGAAGAGTAAGCAGGAACAAATGGTCATGGGTTGGGTGGGTAAATACACTCTTTATCTTGCCCTGTGATGATTAAGTATCGCGCTTAGAGGAGAAAGGACACAGTCTCGGAGTTTCTTTAATTTCTCAATCCTCACTCTCTCTCACACTCTCTCCCTCTCTCTTGCTCTCTCTCACTCCTCTCTCTTGCTCTCTCTCTCTTGCTCTCTCACTCCTCTCTCACTCCTCTCTCTTGCTCTCTCTCTCACTCCTCTCTCTTGCTCTCTCTCTATCTCTCTCTCTCTGTATATGACTAGTGTCCCTCCAATGACTGCAAGATTATGAGATCTGAGGGCTTTTATACTCTTATGTTGGGTTCCTACCTGTTACTATATTGTATTGGTGCCTAGTAGTGATGGAATTATTTTCAGAAAGGTTACTTTGTATTGTGTGTGTGATATATATAGATATATATATATATATATATAAGAGAGAGAGAGATATAGAGAGAGAGAAATTTTAAAAAATTATTTTACTGTGTTTTTTTTGTTTAGCAATCCCATTAATGAGAAAAAGGCCACAGAAATTTCTTGTCACAAAGATGTTGCCAGCCAGACATTGGCAGTGTTACCAGTGTGCAATGCTACTTCTGTAAAACCACCCAAAACTACCACCACTGCACCTATAGCAAGTGTGTCTCCTGCTCAGAGCACGCAGGTAAGTTGTTGTTTTTTTTTTAATATGATTATCACTTACCATGTGTACTTTTGTCAGCATCCTTACCTTGAAGGTCCTACAGGTTGCACTACTTCTGCCAGTCTTTATCCTTGTTGACTTGGGCTTTGGGAGACATGACTCTACATGGTATCCATTAGCATTTACAAAATGTATTCCCAGGTCCCTCTCATCTCCGTTATTTAACCACTTCAGCCTCTGCTCAACACCCTAAGCTGAATGGCTGACACCTAAACCCGAACTGTGACTGTTTAGTAAAACATAAAATTCGGGGTCACGTCGGGTAAATAGACAAACATGTCAAGCCCTAAAATTGGGTGCGCCCGCAAAAATCGCAAAAAACGCCCATAGGCGACGATTAAAATGCTTTTACTGCTCATCAGTTTAGTGTTATCAGTGATTAATGGCTCTAGAATTATTGCTCTCACTCCGACGTTTGCGGCGATATGTAACATGTGCGGCACAATCGTCATTTCCGAGTGTAGGTGCACCCGACACATCTGCGTGTGTATGTGGGGGGCGGGGACTTAAAAAAAATGTGTTTTTGTTTGGTTTTTTTTACACACAACTTTATTGCTATTACATGGGTGGGCTAAGAAGCCCCCTATGGGATAGCCAATTTACATGACTGGTCCTCTTTATGGAGACATCAGGGGTCTCCAAGACACCTAATGTCACCTAGGGACCCCCAGAGAAGCTGATGAAGCAGAGATCGGCTTCATCAGCTTCTCTAGCTGGAGAGTGACACTGAATGCAGGAAGTGATGCAATATACATCACTTCCTGCATTCGGGGACAGAGGAGATCAAAGGGAGTTTGTATACTGAACTCCCTTTGATCTTCTGTGTCAGAGCCGTGCCGGTCCTGGACGCATCGGGCACAGCGGATCTCGGGACCGGCAACGGCAGGGACAGCTGCTAATACAAGTACCAGAAGAAATTCGAGCAGTGTATAGCTAGCTTAAGTATCTTAGTGTTTTTACAGCTTGTTCGTCAGTGAAGTTGACAAACGCTATTTACACAGGAGTCCTTTCCTGTGTTTCTGCAGCAGAGACCTAGGATTTGCCTGTCAAACTTGCAAGCCCTGTGATTTCACAAGGTATATTGGCCACAATACAGGAGGAAGATTGGGGCATTCAAGGTACACCCAAGGTACTTGGAAGTATAGTTTTCTAGGGTGTTCTTAAAGTGTATCTTCCATAAAAATGGAAGGTCTACTGTATTGAAAGCCCCCAGCCCTCTGAAGTCAAATTGTTTGCAAATGATATTTATTAATAAAGCTGTTGCAACAAAACCAAACAAAATAAAAAAAACTTGCCTTGGCTCTGTCCTCTGACAGTTCCAGGAGGTGCAGAAGATGATACACGTTCGCACTGCTTCCACCAAGGGCAGCTGGGCACTCAAAATCCCACCAGAATACCCCCTGCAGTTGGCTGGTGTGCTTGCAATTGACTTGAGAAGTGGGGGCATTCTATATGCCGAAAGTGCCATTGTCCTGCCGATCGGCGCATCCCTGCTTTCTTTCCTCCTCGCTGGGCGCTGCTCTGTGTCCCAGCGGGGAGAAGCGAAAGTGTTACAGCCGAGCGATGTGAGCGGCCGGCGTCTCCTCGCACACTGCTCAGCCTCCCATCACCGTTCCGGTGTTCTGCATTGAAGTATAATGATTATACAGCAATGCTGAATACCACCAACTATGCAGGACTGCAAGTCCCAGCAATACATTATATTAAGTAGGGATGCACCTGTGCCAATACTGGGCATTTTCACAAGCACTCGTACTCGTGAAAATGACCCAATACTAAACGCAGATACCGGCACTGTCGAAACTTCCAGGGCTGCATCAGTCGCATTTGCGACCGGGCCCTGGTTTTCAGCCAGTTTGAGGGGCCCAGAGAGACCAGAACACTGACATTGATTTGCCATGTGTTCCGGAGATCGGGCGGGCGTACCTGCGTTGCCATTGACTTTATCCCCCAGTGAGCCGGCCGGGATGCGATCCAGTGCGTTCCAGCACGAATCGGGCCGGAACTTACTGGAACTGCTGTGAACTAGCCCTGAAAGTCATAACATACATAGAGGGGAATTTATCAACCAACTGGAGCAGACAGAATCTGGAGCAGTTACCTATTGCAACCAATCAGCATCCACCTTTTTATTTTTAAACCTTAAGGCTGTGTTTACACCTAGGCTTATTGAATATGCATGTTTGTTGCGCGTTTTTACCGCGATTCTTGAGCGTTACAGCGATGTTTGAGCGTTTTGTAGAGCGTTTGTCGAGCGTTGAACGCGCTACAAAATGTTCAGGTATGAACCAGGCATAACTGAACGAACTGAAGAGGGAAGTGTGTGTGTCGAAATTAATCAATAAAAAAAAATGTTTATTCATCGAACACGAAAATTTTAATTACCATAATATATATATATGATGTGTATAGAAAATGCATTAACCTCAAAGTCTAAAGATGACTGAGGAAAAATGGAGTCCCAGGTTTCAACACTTGTGACTTCGGTAATCCTAAGTGCACTGGGTTTGAAGAATGATCTGCATAGTAGTATTAATGTTTTTTGAGTGCATTCCTAAATTTTAAGTAACTGCATTGTTCCCCCTCTTTCTAGGAACCACGCAAATTAAGTTATGCTGAAGTATGTCAGAGACCTCCCAAGGAGCTTGCACCAGCTTCAGTTCAGCCACTTCGTGAGCTTCGCTCCAACATAGCACCACCTGCCAAAAATGAAGAAAGCACTACTCCAGAGAAGAACACTGAAAAGCCCCATGACAAGCTTGAAGGAAAAGTCAAAGAATCCCCTGGACATCGCAACAGTGGAACCCCCAGAGGAGGTGCAGGGAAAATCAGGGAACAGAGACGACAGTTTGGACGCAGGTCTTCACCTCAGGGAGCAACACGGCGTAATGGCAAGGAGCAATATGTGCCACCTAGATCACCAAAGTAAAAACTTCTTCTTGTGTTTAATTTAAAACTTCTAACTGGACTGATGACCTCAAAGAAAGACTTTGAAATTGGAAATGGTCATTAAATTTGTCTTACCCAATGTGGACATAATGGAATCCAAAATTCATCTCAGAGATAATAGATTTGAGGTGGTAGAGTTCCAGATGTGATTAAAGAGCATATAAATTAGTATGGTTTTTTTTTTTTTTTTCGTTTTTTCTTTTCATCTTAAATATTTTACGTTGCAGAAGTTACCTGCCATATGTCAGTTTCAGGGTTGTGACATAAACCTAGAAGACCCTCTAAAGAGGGTAAAAGAAAATATTTTTGAAAAATAGATGTTAAAAAAAAAAAATATAAAAAATATAGAAATTTAAAATTACTTTTTTAATCTATTTAAGGCTTTGCTGGTAGTATGTGTATGCCATTTTGGCCTTGAAGTTAAAATCATGGATGCGGTGTGTGGTCAGTGTGTAACTGTGGCCAGATACTGTTTTCGTCACGAATTATAAAACTGAATGTACAGGTGTTATGTAATGTCGGCTAGCTTGAAATATTAGTTTGTCTTTTGACCTTACTAAAATTTCTCTGTAAGCATTTTCCCTATCTTTAGAAAAACATGAAACTTCGAAAGATAGCAAAAAAGGCTTAGTTACAGCAAAGGCATGTGCATCGGTAATTCTTTTTTTTTTTTGTCCATCTTGTGCATGATAGTCACAACTGTAAATCTCTAAATCCAAAATATGTGTATGTCTTGTTTCAGAAAGGGCTATGCATAACTGACCTATGAATTCATATGGTTCTCGTTGGAGTGACTGATGTTATTGTGCTTTTTGTCATTGAAAAATGTCTTTTTTTCTTTTCTTTTTTCTACCTTTTTAGTATGAGATTATATACAGCAGTAGTCTGATTTTGTTTACCAAAATCAGTTTAACTGTGTAAAAACGTCTTACACTCTTTGGTAGACATAATAAACTTTAGTTACATTTTAAGTTTGCCCTCTGTTGTCCTCATCTTAGCAAATTTAATGCTAGGGCTTTCTAAAGAGCTTTTGTAAAGTAAGATGGACTTGTTTTGCCATTCATAGCTACTTTTTTTTTTAAATGGCCTTTATGCATAAAGTCAGAATTGCTTAAAATCCCAGCTTTAAAATATGAAATTCTACATGTGTACAAAATTCAAGGTATTCCATTTTTTGCTTTTAAATTGACCCTGTCAATCGCTTAAACCCCCCCCACCCC